TTATACTCTTGCAATTCTTATTGAGCTATAATGATGATCATGTTATAGAAGGGTTAGACCCTATGACCTAAACTAAGCTACGATTGATGATAAGGCTTAAAGACATTACAAAAAGGGACTCTAGCTTAGCACCGAGCGAACTAAATTGAAGATTGTCTCTTCCCACATAGGGAAGGTAGGATTACTAATGTACTCTTGAGATTGGAGACTACAATGCATGTAGCATAAAGAGGGTCACAATTATATATCCTAGTTCTTGAACTATGTTGCCCCCATAGGAATATTAGCTAGTAGATCCACGTGGTTGCTATGTTTTATGTTTTTGTACTACCTTGGCAAGTAGTCCACCTTTCTTTGGTGTAGGGCTTTATGAAACAGGATTCCACACTAGCTCATGTGGTCTATGTCTGTTAGGGCAAGATGTTCCCAAAAGGTAAAATGAACTAAATGAATGAACTCTAACTATAATGACTAAGGGGTATAGCTTATTCTAGATAGGGGTATGAGACTCTACCTAAGCATTGCAGTAGTTAGCCTTAGGGGAGTCTTGGGAGGATGTTCTTATGTATGAATACACTTAAAATACGATATGATATGTATATGATGAACTTGCGTATTGTTGATACTATATGGTAATTAGTTTCACTTATGTATATATGTTGGTCTATATGGTTAAAGTAAGATGATATGTGCCCTTAAATGTTATATGTGAAGTAGTATGTTAGTCATGTTTCTTTTTGGGTTACTTGATTGAGTAAGGTTATGGGGCTTTACTTAGTTATTGCACTTGTTGATTTGATAGGGGTTCATGGTTAGTTGACTTTCTTTGGTTATGTTGAAAAGTACTCTTATTCATGCTTTTTGTTAATATGACTTGATGATAAAGTTACATTGAGTATGTAGTTACTTATATGATATGTATGTTTGACTTGACTAGACTTGATGTTGTAGTTCTTGTAATTTACATGCCTATGACTTAATGAACATGAAATATTGATTGGTATGGTCTTGTTGAAGGTGCATAAAGGTTTTAAATAAAAAGTGCATATTTTTTTAAATGTCCTTTTCTTAGCATTATTTCAAGGTAGGTGTGCATATGATCTCATACTTAGTACAAGTGCGTTCTAACCCCATTTCTTCCTTTTTCCCTAACATTTTAGGTTCCGGTTGTTGAAGTGTTTTTGAAGGCGACTTGAAGAAGGCTTGGATCCTTTGATCATCCAAGTAGAGTAGGGCCTAATTGTCCGAGGGCGATGCCAATATCAAGCTTATGTTGTTGTTTTAGTTCTAAGACTCTTATATTCTACCTCATTTCATTTGAGTACGGATTGTATAAATCCTGTATGTGGCTCTCTTTACATTGATGTATGAGTTATGCCCAATTTGCTAATCGTGTTAGATGGTTATGAGTTGAGAAAATCTTTGAAGACTATGTTCTATCTTATATAGATAATTATGTGCAATAAAGTAGAAGGCTATGTAACCTTCCTATACAAAGGGTCTATGTATTCTCGATATATATATTTTATTTGTATATAGAGGTCTATGTAAACCTCCAAGTAGAAGTAATGAAAAGTTTTAAATTTCTGCTAAATTTGACCTATGAATGTAATGATGTAAACTAAGAGACTAGTCTTAGTCCTCAAAGGGGATGACGACGCCAGTTACATCTAAGGGGTAAACCCGGATGTGGAAGATTAATACATATGTAACTGCTAATAAGTACTGAAAATACAATTATGTTGCAGTGATTTGCTTAACATAATGAATTTGATACTTAATTCTTTAAAATTTTCTGTATCGAATAATATAGTATCAATTGTTGTAAATGAACCAAATAAGAGTTGTGATGTGTATGGGATAAGAGACATAATGTAAAAAGATACTTAACATATTATAAATTTAGATGATTGGATCAATTTGTAAATATATAGTATCAGGTTTAATTTTTTGAGACACACAATTTGTGATGCTGAAAGCATGATAAATAATTGTGTATCATATACTTAATATACTTTTTTAGCAAATCTGTTTCAACTTATACACACCAATTTGTGATGTTTAAAGCACGATAAATAATAATTGTGTATCATATACATAATATATTATTTGGTGTCAGCTTATAATATAGTATCAACTGTAGTCATTTGTACCAAATTTATAAAAGACATAATGTTAAAAGGTACTAAATATATTGAAAATTAACTGATTTGTATCAAGTATAAAAATATAGTATCAGGTGTTGTGATACATACAAATTTTGTTATAAAAAAATATTCGCATATGATGTACATAATAAAATTTTAAATAATCTTGTATCTGCTAATAATATAGCATCAATTATATATTAATTGTAATATACTCTATATTATAACTAATATAGAGTATAAGATATATGATATATAATTTTTGATATTTTGTATTAAATAATATATAAGATGTAGAAAACAAAACATAACAAGGTACTAACAATATCAAATATTATATTCAAAATAAATAATTTTGTTACAAAAAACTGTAAAACTTGAGAAAATATATCTTTAAAAATAATAAACTCTCCAAAAAATATTAGTTAATGTATCGTAAAAACAATAAACATCAAAAGTTATCTGTGAATTGGTACATAATCACTAATCTATATGAACCAAGTCATCTTGTTGTTGTGGAGTGCAATAACTCTTTAGCTTTAGTGGATCATCGTTATCGCTAACATATCCTACCTTGACCTTGTCGAGATTGTACTTTCATAATAGTGTTCCATATCTTGTGCGAAGGTAGTCAGCTCAGAAACCGTTAGATAGATGTTGATTTTATTACTAAAGAATTCAGCTAAGACAATTACAAACATTCAACCGTCACTATACACATTCGGCATGTACATTATAAAAATGAATTAGATTTGAACAAAAAATTAATTACATGATACTTTATAGTAACTACAAAAAATCTTTTTGTTTAGTTGATACATAATGATAATAATAGTGATTGAAACTCAATAACACTTGATGATATTTGTTTCTGATACTAAATCAAACATCATATATTCATTATATGTTATTTAAGTATCGTGGTTAAACTATTTTATAATATGATACAGTATTCTGCAAATTACATCTCATCAAAATAATTTCTACTATATAGTTTGATATATTAGTGCCAATATATTGAAAAACAAAAAGAACCAAAATTAAGATTTCATATATAATTTCGTAAGATCTAAAGAAAGGTACAAAACAATGTGATAATGTATCATTGTTGTCAACATATCTAATTTTTTAGACATAACTCACTAGGGATGAAGTTCTTCCACATTTGTTTTAAAAGATAAAGTTTCATCCTTCTTTGACTTTGTCTTCTAAATATTATGATTCGTCATTGTTAATGGATCCTACAACCTTTTGAATCTATTTTCAGCTCAATCATTATCATCATTGGAATCATAATGAGTTGATTAGATCTATTTTCATGAAAGTTTTCATCATCAACATCAAATACACAAGGTACCATACTAAAAAGAGGGAGCACATTTCATATGTATAAGAAAATTGTAAATAAAAATATTAGTTTTTTTTTATAAAAGAAAAGAAATCTGAAGAATTGGAAATAAAAAATTGATGAAAAAATAGTCCTACCTCTTTAGGAACTTGAAATTGATGAACTTGAGAGAAAATAAATTTGAAATTAAAGAACGAGTGAGTGGTGTAACTGTTGATATATGAGAGTGGTTTTAGGCGTAAAAAATTGAACAAAATCGTTGGATTGGAATGAATGTGAATAATGTATCTGGAAAATGAGACAAAAAGAGGAAAAAATGGATTTTTTGAAATATTTTTAAATGGTAGGAAAGTTTAGAAATTATAGAAAGAAAGATTGTATAGTTAAGTAATTTTCCTAAAATAAATGCTGAAAGTAAAGATTGCACACACAACTTTATGCGGAAACCTCTTTGTTCAAGGGAATATAATCATGACCTGTCTCATAGAAATTTTAAAACATCTTTTACTAGTGTTTTCATGAAAAAGTAAAAACCAGTTTATAAGATGAGATTAACCTATTAATCTCCACACTAAGCAATATCTCCTATTACTTAGACGAGCCTAAGCAGATACAACACTGTTCACTATACTAATCCTAAGGATTAATATAGACTTCGAAATAAAACACTAAGTTACTCACAACTTACGTTCTTACAATGATTCACACATGTTTAAAACATTTCTAACACGAGAACAATATCTACAATATAAGCATGTACAAGCATCAAAGTAATAACTAGTACCAGAAGCACTTGAAGCAATCAATCGGGTCCCTGCTATTTTTAAGCTTGAAAAATATCTCTCTTTGAATGGATGAATAATTTTGTTATTTGTAAGTTGAAACACTTGACGAGTATATTCTGCAAAGGACCAAGTCCCTACACTTATGAGAAGATCATCAAAACATCTAAGAGCGTCAACAGTTTATGACAATTGATTTTCACATGTCGCACAAAATTTCATAAGTTCTTCTTGCACCTAGAAAGAATCCTAATCTAATCAAAGAAAAAGATATGATAATATAAATCCACCAAGTTTTCAGATATTTACTCGAATACTAATAAAGAAGAATAACACTAGTGAAAATGAATCAAACATCATTCAGGAAGTTATATATATGCGGATACTTTCCTTTTTTAAGAAAAAAAAAGATGTTGGATAGATTTAATCTAGTTTTTCACATAAACTACATATACTTTGTTTTATCAGTGTTACTAGATGGAACTAGCCCGTCCACTTTATGTTGTATCGAATTCTTTTAGCAGACACAATGTTTTTTCACAGAAATGACAGTAGTTACTTCATCAAACTCAATTACTTCATTGTTTAACCATGCTGCTTCTTGTAGCAGACCTATGGCTATTATGCAGCAGACATTGGTTCAACTCAGAATTCTGTGGGCTGTTTCCTTCCATTGAATAGGACTTGGTGTTGTTACGACACATGATTTAAATGAAAGTAGAATTACATAATTAACTTGTTAAAGTAACTGTATCTCAAATGATCAATCAAGGGGGGAATAAGGCAAGCTTAAAACCGCATATATTATGCTAAACAAAAGCATCCATGCCTACTTGAGCTAAAATCTAAAAAGATAAAATTTGATGGAATTCATACAAATTACTAAAGAGCTAATTTAAGAAAATGTTCTTAAACCAACACATTTCTGATAATAAAGTACCATACAACGAACACAACATCTTTTCAGAACTTAAAGAGTTTGCTAAGGTTGTATCTCCTGTTAACATCATCCTTGGTGTAATCAATCATGGACCTGAGTCCAGGAGAGCGATGATCTCACCACTCTTGGACTGATCTATTTGACACCAAATAGCTGTAATTCTTTGCATCTTGCATTGTGCAACAGAGTATTCAATTTGATTTCAACTCTTTAATATTGAATACGGAAGTTAAAGATCTATTCTCTTATTTCTGCTACAAAAAAATAGATTAGTAAAGGTTACTAACTCTCTAATGGTGTTTTAATGCATCACTTTCATAGTATAAATGTGCAAACAAAAAAAATATAAGATTCAAACTTCTAATTCTCGTATTCCAGACACTACATGTTCTTAAGGAATGCTTCATCGGTCATGTCCTTTTGTTTCTTTGTTTGGGATAAAAAAATGCAGTAATTAGGAGCAGAAGAAAAGAAGAAACTATCCAAAAGTTGCACCATGCAATCACTCGAACTTGATTTGTGAACTTTATGCTACTTTATATGTTAATGGATATACTCCTTCCGTCCAGTATTGTTTGTCATTATTTATATTTTTAGAGTCAAACTATAAATATTTGACTAACATTTTAAGATGTATTTCTTCAAAATATTAATATGCATAAAATTGTAATTTACAGTACTTTTCATATAGTTTTAGAATATCTAATTTTTTTGTTTAAAAATATCAAATTAATGGAATCTAATTTATCTTTGAAAATTAATCAAATTGACATTCGATAAGCGCAACATGACAAACAATTCCGAACGGAGAGAATAAAATAGTAGCGTGTTCATAAAATTAACAGAATTTTTTTATTATACCTGTCTTTTCCTAACTTAGTATCAACAACTATATGAAGTAATAGTAGTTAAATTTAGAGTTTTTTATAGCACTAATTATACGACAGTTTAATAAAATACATCTTCAATAAAATCTTTGTAATTAGAAGTGTCTCAAGTCAATAGAGATCAAATAATACAAAGAAGCAAAATTTACATGTTTCAATCTCTTGTAAATAAAGGAAACTAAATGATAATACTAATTGCATATGAAAAATCGTAATTGGCACCTGAATTTTAGGAGACATGGCTAGAATGTGAAGGCCATAAGAATGAATACAGGAAATCCCTAAATTGAAGAAACTAAAAAATAATAGAAAACAAAGTGAACTGTGTTGGCAACCAAAGCAAAGACCACGTAAGTTTCATGGTGAAATCTGAAATTACAAAACTACCCTCAACTTGAAATTAGTGACCAAAAACAGACACGTTGATACCAACCAAAAACCCACTATTCTATATAGTAGAATCATGCACTATTAAACATGTTTTCGTACTTTGATCATGATTCGTGAAATTTAAAATTATGAGTTTTTGGGTATAATCTTTGCATATAATCTTAGTAAACCAGCTTATACCAAATCTAGTTACATACCAAATGTATACACAAAAATAATTGGTATGAATTTCGTATGAGATTTGGAATTTTATCCATACTAGTTATTTGTTGAAATTTATTTATGTTCTAATTGAATACAAATTATATACGCAGAATATGTTGATATGAACATGCAGAGGCGGACCCACATAGTGTCCGCAGGGTGCTCGAGCACCCATTAATTTCGTTACGGAATATATATATCTATGTAGAAATTGATAGGTATTTGTATAAAAGTAACATAGAGCATCCAATGAATAATTGATTTAGTTGGTCCCATGGCTCCTAGATGGGTAATTAATACTTATTTAGTATTGTTGTACCAAGGTTCGAATCTCACTGTTAACACATTTTTTATATTTTCACTTTAGAACACCCACAACCTTAAATTTCTAGATTCGCTATGTAAACATGGTATCCAATTTGCATTTTTATATCCACATTAGTTATATATTGAAATTCTACTTGCATACCAACATGAATTCCTTTAAATCCAATTACATCACATTTATATACACAAGCTCATAGTTAATTGTCACGCTCCGAGCCTACACCATGGATTGAATAGACACTTAAGAGTCATTGTTGACTCCAATCGAACTCTTGGCCTGACTTACTATTCAGCAGAAAACTTTACTCAACAAAGATAAATCCATGAAGTAAACTAGAATGTCATGAAAGTCAACATTCAGCTACCCAATAAAACAACTCAAGTCTTATAATAAATATAACTGAAATAACAAGACTAGCAAACTACTAATCAAATGTCTATGAAGCCTCCAATTACTAAGAGGAATGTCAGAACAAGACCTCCGATAATCCATATAACTAAAAAAAAACATAATAAAAGGGACACTCCAGAAGGAAGCTCACCAAATGAATCTGAATGCTCAGCATGGATCAATGAGCGCTGGATGTTGATCCTGATTACCTATCAGTACATTAAATGTACAAGTATGCGAGGGAAATTCTCAAACAAAATATAAGCTTGACCTGGAGTTGAAAGAAACACCTATCTCGTCTCAACTCTAGTCAACTCATTTCAATATAAAGAGTAAACAGATGTAGTATAAAGAATAGAATTTAAGCAATAAAAAACAACTCAATGCATTAGAAAATACATTATAAACATTGTTTGTATATATATAGATACAAAATAGATCTATGGGAGATTCTCTAGCCGACATCTATCACTGTGAGCAATGTGATAACACAAAGTTTTGTCGCATGCTACCAAGGTGGTCTTATACCTTGTACGGGGTATAGAACTTATTACTAAGTGGATCCACTACTTTATGCTAAAAGCATTAAGAAATTATCTAAAAAGTATGACCCTTTTCTACCCATGTAGGTTACACGGTTTATGGACACTTTGAATTATTTGAACACAAACTCATCCCCAAAAACATAACTCTTTATAGGATTTGATATTACCACTCAAAAACTAGATCAAAATCTCTCTTGAAAATCAGTGTTTCCTCCATTATTTATTTATGAAAAATTTTACTCTTAGGAATACTTAGTTCCCAATTATTTTTGGAAGAATTTAACTTTACTCTAACTCTTACTCAGCCCAATGTTCAATTCCTTAAAACAAGTTAAAATATTTGTAAAAAGACTTTTGAAAAGACTCTAAGAACTTTCTTGACTTGACTCTTAACTCTTTTTGAATAATTATGGATTCAATATAATATTATGGATGATCTCTTGATGTTTATATGTACTTTAGAATGTAGAAATCAACTAGAAAATATAGGTACGGTTCGAGGAAACTCAGACAGAAAGAAATGTGAAAGGGTAGAAGACCTGGCGACCCTGGAGTGGCGCCAGACCTCATACTACATAACATGGGTTGGGGTGCACTGAGTGGCGTGGTTCCCCAGAGACCAACCTACAAACTTCACATGTTGGCGGCACTGAGTGGCGTGCGCTAGCCCCTTTGCCAGAAAACCCATGAATTTTCTTGCTCGTTCCTAACTCGTCTACAATTGTTTGGTTTTTTCCCACAAACACTTGAATTTGAATACCCAACAAAAGTATACAAGAATCCACTAAGAAAACCCTTAAAACTAATACAATTATCTCACACATAAAAATCTCAACAATTAAGATAATGGAGGAAAGTTCAACGAAACTCATCAAAACTCAAATCCTTTACTTTCAAGAATGTAACTTCACTGAATTAAATCATGATCGGAGCGTGGATGAACGAACCCAACACCATGTGAACTCACATACCTCGTAGGGATAACCGTTGGCGAAATCCTCAAGCAAAAACTTAAGAATGTGACAAACCTTGGCTTTTCTCCTCTTTTCTCTTCTCTCAAAGCCCTAGCGTAATTTTTTGAAGTATAAATTGCACTAAATAATTTTAGACCCCAAGTAAATAATTTAAAAGGAATTAAGTTAATTGGGTAATGAAAATATCAAAATACCCCTAGAACATCCAGGTGGTTTACCTTAACTAGACAACCCAACTTCAAACGGGCATATATCCCTCATGCAAGCTCAAAAATTTGCAAACTCAGTGGCCTTGGAATGATAATTTCAAAGACCTTTCATTAGATATCTTATGGCACACATGAGTCACCATGTACTGAAAGTTATGGTCATTTGAAGTTGACCTGAATCTCATACTTAGAATAACTTGCTAAAATTTCCGAATCTAATCGTTTCCAAAACTGGTTTATTTCTAATTCTAGTTCATTCAAATAGAGAAGTGTTACCATATATCCAACTTGGGAACATTATTCCTCGAATAAAATTCTCTAAGTAGACCAAGGGTGTGACATCTATCATTCATTTCAAATAGCCAACATGCAATATATACAAACCATGCAAATCTTAAAATGAACTCCAAGAAAAGGATTAGTACCTTAGTTTAATACTCCTACGAACTCAAAGAGATGTGGTAGCTCTTCTTCATATTCTTATCAGTTTCCCCGGAGCCTCCTCAACAAACCAATTTCTCCACAGAACTTTAACTGATGCTACTTCCTTAGTTCTCAACTTGCGAACCTAATGATCTAGAATCTGCAGGGGAATCTTATCATAAGAAAGTTAACTTTAGTACCAATATCTTTAGAAGGTATGATAAGTGAAGAATTGCCCGTACACTTCTTCAACATGGAAATATGGAATACCGGATGAACTACTGGTAACTCTTAGGGTAGCTCTAATTCATAAGCTACATATCCAATCCTCATGGATATCCTGTAAGGACCAATATACCGGGGACTAAGCTTACCCTTCTTACCAAATCTTATAACAACCTTCATGGGTGAAACTTTCAAATAGAACCAATCATCTAATTCAAAATCTTAGTCTATCCTCCTAACATCTGTATATGATTTTTGACTACTTTGCATTGTTTTCAATATTTCTTGATTAACCTTCATGTTTTCCATAACTTGATGAACTAAGTCTGGTCCTATCAAATCAGTGTTGGGTTTTATTTTCCCTAAATTTCTTACCATAAATAGGTTTTCCTTGTAGGAAAAGGTTTTGGATTGACTAATCCTTTTCTTGTAGGAAAAGGTTTACGAATCTATAAATAGAGGTATGTTCCTTCTAACTTAATCAGCATTCACAATTTAGTCTTAAGGGCTTTGAGAGTTTCGGTAGAGGGAGAATTTGTGGGTCACAAGATTGATACGTTATCACTTGTGTGAACCTCCCATGTCTTCCGAGTGAATTGGTTGAGGTTGTTTCCCTATGTATTTTGTACTCTCATATTCATAGTGGATTGCTCATCTCCTTTGTGGACGTAGGTCGATTGACCCAACCATGTTAAATTTTTGTGCCTTTTGGTATATTTCTCGTTGTCTTCTTACTCGTGGTCTTTCGAGATTTGCGTTGCTAGCTTCCGCATATACACTTGCTTATTTCTGGTCCTAACAATCAGCTTCACTAACCTCTAACCATTCAATAGGCGACTTGAATCATCTCCCACAAAGATCCTCATACAGAGACATTTGGATGCTAGAGTGGTAACAAGATGATCATCCTAATACCCTTGAAATTGATCACACAATCTCTCAACATATCTTCTAAAGTGTGAAAGGTGTGCTCTGCTGATCATCATTGTGAGAATAAAAAGCAGTACTCAAATTCACTTTCAAACCCAAACCTTATTGAAATGACTTCAAAAATTGTGTAGTAAATTATTCACCTCTATCTAAAATAATTGACACTAGCAATCCATAAAGTCTAATTATATCTTGACGATATAACTTGGCATAATATATTGCTGAATGGGTAGTCTTTACTGTAAGAAATGGAATGATTAAGTCATTTGATCTAAAATTACCAAAATTGAATCATGTTGTTTGCGAGACCACGACAAACCTATAATAAAGTCCATATTTATAATCTCCTACTACCATTACGAATTCTTTTTATTCTAAGCAATACGACTGGGCCTTTCGTTCTCTACTTTAACTTGTTGGAAATTTAGACACTTAGCAACAAACTTTGCAAGAGCAATCTTCATACTACTCCACCAATAGGCTTCTCACAAGTCATGATATATCTTTGTTGAACCCTGGTGGATAGAATACATGGAGCTATGAGCTTCTTCCATGATCCTCTCTTGGAGTTCATCTACCCTTGGCACTCACAATATACCTTGATACCTCAATACAACATCTCCTCTTGTTCAAAAGTCATCACCGTTACTCACAAACACTTGCCTTCAGTTCATGGAAAATAGAATCTT